TCTTTCTTTCTTTCTTTCTTTCTTTCTTTCTTTCTTTCTTTCTTTCTCTCAGTCCTTCTCACTACCCTCATGTTACAGGGTCTCTCCTCTCCTTAATGTAATGCCCCAACATTTGTGGTGTTAGAAGGGTCAGTAGAGAAAATGGACTTAAGAGAACTTATTCAGTAACTCCTTGTTTCCAAGCCATATACTTCCACATTGTGCCTGGAACCCTTTTATTGACAGACATTAGGAAGGCAGCAACCACCCGGTTTAATGGAATCAAGTCAGGACATCTGCATTTTTATGAGGGCTGAGCCTTAAGGGGATTGTTGACTCTGTTTGGAACATGAAGTGGGGTTCCAAGTCCTGAGGTCAATTTTGGTTGCCATCCAAAGGGTAAACATTAGATCTCTACCATCAGGAGGCCAAGGAACAAACTTCTATCAGTTATTCAATAGCATCTTAATATTAAGGTACAAGGATATTGACTGGAATATCATGTCTAAGTGAATGCTTTGTAAACAAAGTATGTGGACAATTACAGATAGCTAAATAAACCACCAGGTTTGTGGAAGCCTTAGAATATAGGCAGTAGAAAGAAAATTAAGTGGCTCTGAAGGATGATTATGTTATATCACCTGACGGCAGCAAGTTCAATAGCATGTGCCACTTTATGTCAGCTAAGAATGTGTGGTTTAGGAGATTGCAAGCAATGAAAAGTTTTAGCAGTTCTCTCAATGTTGAGAGCATCAACAAACTAGCTGCTATGTTTTTAGAATATGAACTTCTACATTTCTTTGTTATATTTTAATGTTTATTAATTTTTGAGAGAGAGAGAGAGAGAGAAAAGAGTGCAAGTGGGGGAGGGGGGCAGAGAGCGAGACAGAGAATCCGAAGCAGGCTCCAGGCTCTGAGCTGTCAGCACAGAGTGCAACATGGAGCTCAAACACAACGCTCCATGAGATCATGAGCCTGCACCGAAGTTGGATGCTTAACCGACTGAGCTACCCAGGCATCCCTGAACTTGTAAACTTAAAAAGATGGATAGAAATGTTAACATTTATGACAAAGAAGAAATGCCAGAATCTGAGGCACCAAACATATATGAATCAAGGAAATAATTCTGTAAACTTAAGCCAGATACAAGGATGGGGAAGTAGTTCTGTTTTTCAGCCAGAAATTGCTCTGTGATTGGGCTGACCCACTTTCTCACTTACCCTATTTTGAGTACCTTGCTCAGCCCTCTAGTTCCCCTTTTTATTCTTCCTGGTCAGACCCGGACCACCAGATAGTCTACTCTGCCTTAAACTTTGAAAGTGAGTCAAGGAGAGAATTAAGTAGCAGTTCTTAGAGATAAAAACATTAAGAAATATTGCCTCAGACTAAAAAAATGCCCCCAGATTTTTCTCAAGTGCTGTGGAAATGAAAGCAGAAAATTGCTCTGTGCCATTTCTGGGGCCCACTGCTATTAGAGACAGATGATAAACCTCACCAAATCAGCGCAGCACGCGATGGGCTGGAGCAGATGGACGTGGCTTGCCCTTTTTAAACAGAGCTAACATGGCAACGAGCTGATTGCTGCTAAATCAAACCCTGCCACTGAGCTCTCTTTCTGGAGGCCACCAGTTGAAAGGAGTAAATATAAATGCATATGTGAATGTGTCTCATGTTCCTTTACTTAGAATCCTCCAAAAAGGAGCCAAAAGGAACTAAGCAGCATGAACTTCCTCCCTCCTGCTTCATCGGCTGGGATGTGATCTCAGGTGAACCTAAGCTGTAGGCAGATTTGGGGTTTCAGAATCTCCCAATAAGGCCTGGTGTGTCCCCAGAATCAAAGCCGAGCTTTAATCTTAGCTGCACTGTTTCTTAGCTCAGGAATCTAAGCTGGTTCCTTTCTTCTCTGGTTTTTAGTTTGAGGGATAAGATCTATGTTATTTTTGGTGTTGCTTTCCTCCCATTCCGCCAACTGGATGAGTTTTTTGCTCGTTTTATTTTGTTTTTGGTAGTTGTATCTCCCTTGGTAACTGTGAGGCCTGGATGAAGAGAGGAGGAAGGGAACCTGGGGAGGGGAACAGGAGATCACAATAAAAAGCCTAAATAAGATGGAATGATGAAGAGGTGAGAGAAAAAGGAGAAAGAGTTATGGGACTGGTGGAAAGTTTGAGAAAGTCCTATGAGGGATCTGCCATGGCCACAGGATTCCCGAGAGGTGCTGCGAATTAGGAATCTGATCCTTTTAAATATATATCTTTAAAGATACATGTGAAGAATGGATTCTCTTCATAATTCCCAAGTTTAATTTTAGGGCTGGACAGCACAGAGATTGGCCCAGAGGGGCCATAGTTTATCTTCAGATTAAACATACCTGAACTTATTTTGACTTCATGGTGTTAAAACATAGGTATTGGGATATCCATTTTGTATATGAAAACTCAGAGAGATATAAACTATAAGATGAGATTATTAGGTGAGGGAATCAGGTTTTGAATCTGGGGCTGTCTAAATACCAATCTTTACTCTTCTCCATATCATGCTTCCTAGACACCTCGATTCCAAAAGAAGGTATATGACGAAAATAAATGACTGTTTTAAGTAATGGGAATTATTTCATGGGGAAGCCTTTTGTTCAATAGTGGAGGGCAAATGTTCAGCTTTGGGCCATAACTGGTTCATTACCAGACATGCATTCATCAGTGCGTGCATTGGCTCAACCAGCAAATGTTTGTCTTTTGCAACACGTATTGTAAGGACCTAGGGAGACAAATATAAATAAAAAAAGAGAGGTGATCTCTGTTCTCATGGAGCTTGTAGCCCTAGTGGGGAGACAGGCACTCATCTACTAATAAGTTCATAAATACATATAGACCAACTATTTGAAAGAAAAGGATGTGGTTTTTTGAGAGCCCGTACTGAAGTAACCTGAGATTGGGAAAGACATGGAGATGTGCTTTCAAACTTTTCCTATTGGGAATGCTTTTTCCTCTCTTTTGTTCACAATACCCATTGGCTGTCTTTTTTTGTTGTTGTTCACTGTATTCATATTTAGTGCCTAGAATAATGCCAGGCACACAATAGGTAAAGTCCTGCATTTGTGTAAGTTGGATTCTAGTGGAGGAGATAAACAGCAAACAGGGAAACCAATATATAATGTATTTTCAGATGGTAATAAGTGAGATGAAGGAAAATAAGGAAAGTAAGTGGAAGAGTAACCAAGGGTGTTACCTTTTTTTTTATTTTTGAGAGAGAGAGAGAGAAAGAGGAAGAGGGAATGCAAACGGGGGAGGGGCAGAGAGAGAGAGAGGGAGACAGAGGATCTGAAGCAGGCTCTACACTGTCAGCACAGAGCCCACTGTGGGGCTTGAACTCACAAACTGTGAGATCGTGATGTGAGCTGAAGTCAAAGGCTTAACCTACTGAACCACTCAGGTGTCCTTGGTGTTGTTTTTGAAAGGATGTTTGGATAGCACATCTGAGAAGGTGATACTGAAGGGAGACACCTGAAGGAGGGTTAGGACTGAAACACGCAATACAGGCTGAACAGTATTTCATACCAAAAAATTAGTAAAAGCAAAGCCTCCAAGACAGGTGTATTTTTAATTGCTCAAGGAACAAGGCAGCTAACATGTTTGGGCGGTGTGAGTTATGGGGAACGTCACAGAAAATGCAGTTGGAGAGATGTTCAATGGCCACTTTGTAGACGTACCATGGTGAAGAATTTGTATCTCATTCTTAATATGATAGGAAACATTTGGGTACTTTTGAGCAGGAGAGTTACTTGATCTAACGCACACACATACATATGGATATGTGTGTATATATATCTACACACACACATTTCCTAGGAATAGACTGTTTCCGTTATTGGGTGCATCCTACCAACCGGCATAAATCAAAATGTCTTAGATCAAATATGTACCCCTATGGCATAATGTAAATGATGAAGGGAAGGGATCTCATTTTGTCATTTTCTTTTCAAATATCAAGTTGTGTTAAAGGAAACATTTTTCTCAATCACAGGTACAGATGGGAGGAATGAGTGACATCTTGATGTCCTCTCTTTGATAAGTCTTCTCCCTTGGTAGCTTCCAGTGTACTTTTAGGAACAAGCTTCAATTTATCTTTTACAGAGTGGATTTGTGTCCTGGAGCGAGCAGAGCTGCATTTAAAAGTATGCTAGCTTCCAGCTTGAGATTCTCAGAGGAGCAGCAAAGCAAAGAACAGAACATTGCCCTGAATGTTTGGAGAGCTCAGATGGGGGCTTAGCCATCAAATGTAACTGTCACCAGCACAGCCCCTTGCCTGTGAGTTTCTGAAACATTTCTTACATTTATGCATTTGTTTGATCTGTTGAACAATCCAGTGTGATAATTGGGGTAAGAATATTTGTTCCAGTTTTACTGATGGATAACATGAGGCTTAAAGAGGTGAAGTAAATGGCTAGAAATTAAGGCACATACATAAATTTGCTGACCAAATTGATACATGTAAAATTCTTGATACATGGATAGACACAGAGTAGGGTCTCAATAATTTTAATCTCCTTACCCTATTGGCCACAGTATATTTATATATGAGTCATTGTCTATGTGTATATAGGCATTCTTTTAAAAATATTTATTTTATTTTTTGTTAAAAAATCCAGTATAGTTAACAGAGTTACATTGGTTTCAGGTGTACAATATAATGATTCAACAATTCTGTACATTACTCAGGGCTCATCGTGGTAGTGTGCTCATAAGCCCCTTTATTTTATTCATCCTCTACCCACCTCCCTTCTGAGAACTACCAGTTGGTTCTCTGTCTTTAAGGTTCTGGGATTTTTTGGTGTCTTTTTTTCTTTGTTCATTAGTTTTCTTTCTTTCTTTTTTTTTTCATTAGTTTTATTTCTTAAATTGGTGAGAGGTGGCTGGGAGGCTCAGTCAGTTAAGCATCCGAATCTTGATTTTGGCTCAGGTCAAGATCTTGTAATTTGTGAGTTAAAGCTCCACATTGGGATCCACACAGAGAGTGTGGAGCCTGCTTGGGATTCTCTCTTTCTCCCTCTCTCCCTGCCCCTCCCATGTGCTCTTGTGCTTTCTCTCTCTCTTTCAAAAGAAATAAACTTAAAAAAATAAAAAAATTGCACACATGGATGAAATCATCTGATATTTGTCTTTCTCTGACTTATTTCACTTTGCATTATACCTTCTAGATCCATCCGTATTATTGCAAATGGCAAGATTTAATTCTTTTTTATGGCTGAATAATATTCCATTATATAGATATATATACCACATCTCTATCCGTTCATCTATGGATGGATACTTGGGTTGCTTCCATATCTGGGATATTGTAAAGCTTTATTTAAAAAATTAAAAAAAATGTTTCTTTATCTTTTATAAAGAGACAGAGAGCAAGTGGGGGAGGGAGACACAGAATCCAAAGCAGGCTCCAGGCTCTGAGCTGTCACCACAGAGCCCAGAGCCGGGGCTCGAACCCATGACCTGTGAGATCATGACCTGAGCCGAAGTTGGATGCTTAACTGACTGAGCCACCCAGGTACCCCTTGGCTGTTGTAAATAATGCTGAAATAAACATAGGGAGGTTTTTTGAATCCGTGTTTTCATATTTTTTGGGTAAATGGAATTTTGTATTTTTTTGAGTAGTGGAATTACTGGATCATATGACTTTTACTTTTTTGAGGAGCCTCCATATTGTTTTCCATCTTCTAGGCAGTCTTTAGTGACTTGGCTTTGTCTTTGGTTTCTGTGCTTTATCTCCATGATAATTTCAGCAGCACACTGACAGAAAATTCTTTTACGTTAGGGAATTTGCTTTCCTAAGACTTCAGTGTTTTCTAGCTTTCCCTTGGATGTATTCCATGTGGCATTTTGAAGCTCTTGGAAAATATAAAACTGCTAATATTGAGGAACACAGAATTTCCAGCATTGCTATACTTCTCCTTGGGAATCATGATGCTGGTTCTTGAAGCATTAAAAGATCCTAGAAATTCTTGGAGAATTTCTGTATAGAATACATGGAACACTAAAATCAACTTAAGATACTTTAAATTTCATGTGTCTTCTTTTCTTTTTTTTTTAATATGAAATTTATTGTCAAATTGGTTTCCATACAACAGCCAGTGCTGATCCCAACAGGTGCCCCCCCCCCATGCCCATCACCCACTTTCCCCTCCCTCCCACCCCCCAACAACCCTCAGTTTATTCTCAGTTTTTAAGAGTCTTTTATGGTTTGGCTCCCTCCCTAACTTTTTTTTCCCTTTCCCTCCCCCATGGTCTTCTGTTAAGTTTCTCAGGATCCTCATGTGTCTTCTTTTCAAACAAACATTGTTTAACCATACATAAAATGCACAACTTCTTAACAAACTAAGAGTTCAGCACTTGTTGAAATCTCGAGGCCTTTTGGAGATTTTTTTTTAAGGGAGGAGGGGAGTTTAAACTTTGAGGCTACCCAGAATGAATACTTTCTGTTGAGAATAGGTTCACTATTATATATAATGTAGGAGTGCCTCATGTTTCAGAAGCTGAAGGTGGTTGGGTTAAGGAATTGGGGGGAATCTTTCTTTCCCCACTTGGGCATCCAAGACACCTGTTGTTTTTTTTTTTAATTTTTTTTCAACGTTTTTTATTTATTTTTGGGACAGAGAGAGACAGAGCATGAACGGGGGAGGGGCAGAGAGAGAGGGAGACACAGAATCGGAAACAGGCTCCAGGCTCCGAGCCATCAGCCCAGAGCCCGATGCGGGGCTCGAACTCACGGACCGCGAGATCGTGACCTGGCTGAGGTCGGACGCTTAACCGACTGCGCCACCCAGGTGCCCCAAGACACCTGTTTTATGGAATCTATTAACAAGGACTTTTCCTTCTCCCCCTTGTCTTTATTTCTTCTCATCCTCTCCTCCCTTCTTATGTTTCTTCCTTTTTCCCCCCTATTCCTCCTCCACCTTCTCTTTTGTTTGTAATCTTGAGGGAGTTATACAAGTGTTGAAGAGCAGTTTAGAAACTCCTGATTACAACAGCTGAGGGAAGAGTCCTTTATGGTGGTATCAGCTGTCCAGAGACTTCTGGTTGCTAGTGAGTGGTGTAGTCTTCAGACTAATCCTACCAAATAAACTTGGCTGTGTTTTACTGATCTGTAGCCACCCTTGCTTCCTATCCATTTTCCTACCTTTGCTCTCCACTTCCTGTTGATTGTGTGAGGTGTAGTGTATCATTCCAATAAGTTCTTGTAAGTTAGAATTGGTTCCTGAGACATGTAATCAAGAATACTGGCTGGTAGACTGAATAACGGCAGTTTCTGTACTTACCTGACTATCCTTATTTGACTTAGCCTATAAGAACTGATTTACATTCCAGCTCTTAGATGGAGCCTTCTAAGGCTGCCTCATTTTGTGTTGATTTTATGTTCCTTGAGTTTACATGGCCTTACACTTTTTAACATTTTATCATGTCACGCCTTGTAATTTTTTCTACCTTTTTGGTTAGGTTTATTCCTAGGTATTTTATGGTTTTTGGTGCAGTTGTAAGTGGGATAGATTCCTTGATTTCTCTTTCTGCTGCTGCTGCATTATTGGTGTATAGAAATGCAACTGATTTCTGTACATTGTTTTTATATCCTGCGGCTTTGCTGAATTCATGTATCAGTTCTAGAAGTTTTTTTGGTAGAGTCTTTTGGGTTTTACACGTAGAGTATCATGTCATCGGGGAAGAGTGAAAGTTTGACTTCTTCCTTGCCAATTTGTATGCCTTTTATTTCTTTTTGTTGTCTGATTACTGAGGCTAAGGATTCCAGTACTATGTTGAACAACAGTGGTGTGCCTGGTAATATTTTCTAACCGAATTAAGTTAATTTATTTCAAATTCCTCATTCCATCAAAAGTCCCTCAAGGGCAAGTTCTCTCTCCCACTCTCTCATGCTCATTTTCGTTCTTTTCCTTTCTCCCAGATAGAACTGTGGAGGCTGAGCACACCACAGATTTGAAGTTCAGAAAATTATTGTTTTTCTTTAATTGATGTGTGTCAGAGTGCTTCGTTGATTAACAAAAAATTAAGCCTGTGTAACCCTGTGTGGGGGATGACTATAGTTGGCTTTGTAGCTCAACTGAACAAGGACCATAAGAAACTGGCAGGCTTGAGCATGGGCTCTAGAGCAGACAGAGCTGGATTTGATCTTGGAAATTTGTAACTTCTATCTCTGTGACCTTAGACTGGCTTTAATTTGTTCACTCATACATGGTTTGAACAACACTTTCTTTCCAGAATAGATAAGAAGATGAAATAAAGTAATAAAAATAACGTAAAGCCCCTAAAGCACATACTGAGAACTCAGTAAATTTTGGCCTTTTCATTGATGAATGTATTTATCATCAAGTTGATACATGGTTTGTCAGAAAATTGAGTGCTTGGAATGAGTTAATACAAGTCAAATATTAAGGCATCTGCAACTCTTGATCTCAGGGTCATGAGTTCAAGCCCCACGTTGGCTGTAGAGCCTACTTAACATATTAAAAGCAACAAAGTGAAAATTTTACTGTCCTTCAGCCCTTATCTACCTGAAGTAAGTATTTCTGGGGTCCTGTAGGTAAAAGGTTGACAAACTAGGACATTTCTAGGAATGAAGAACTAGGATATTGGAGAGTTGCACTGTGGAGAGTGAGTCTTGATTTACGTTGCCCTTAGAAGTAAGACCAGAAACGATGGGTGCTGATTACAGTGAAGAAGATTTTAGGACATTAGGAAAGACTTTCTCACTTGATTGTATGAACACTGAATGGGCAACTGGAGATGCTCAATTAGAAACTGCATTAACACTTGGCAAATGTATGGTACTCTTTCTGCAGATTCTCTACTTACCCGCATGACTGCTCATTATGTAGAATAAACAGTTCGCTGGAATCATGAAATCCTTATGGGCCAGTGCACCTCTGGAAGTTGTCCAGCACAAATATTTTAGATGTCTCCCTTTCACTTTTCAGACTTTCCTGATTGCATGCAATCCTGAGTCAAAGGGGCTTATTTGAATTGTCATATGATGCCCTGTCCCCTCACCCCCGCCCCTACCTGCTTCCCTCAGTCACATGTATTTACACAGGAGTGTGTTTGGAATTGAGGCTGCATCTCAGAACAATGGGCTATATTTGCCTTGTTTACTGACATAACTTTGCATTACCTCAGAGTCTGCTATCATGCCTGGCCAGGGTGTTTTGTGGGAATTGCCGATAAGATGACTTCTGCACCTGCTGGTGTCACTCACCCTTTAACATGATGGAAGAAAAATGTTGAAAATGCTAAGATGCTTGTTA